TTTAAATATTATGGTTTGCCAGAAAAATGGAAAAAAGTGTGTTATCATTGGTTCAAAACAACAACCAACTACATATTTCTTGCTAGCTGCCGTTTTTTGGCATTCGAGTCGAGTACGTTATCAATTTTGATGACGCAGCTTCTTTCGGACGATTCGCCCCACTGTTCATTTCTGTGGGCCGTGTGTAGAATATCCTGGGCAGGGGAAGGGGAAGTTATTCAGCGAATAGACCTCAACTGTCAGAGACACTCTAATGATTTATTCCACGGCCATGTGTCAGACTACTGATGTGGTGCAAAAAGCTGGCGACTATTCCGCATATTCAAATGGAAACAGGTGATTGTGCGATATTCGCCTCTACGAGTGGTTTTTCCAAATGAGAAAGTAGCGATTTGTATGTTAGCAATGCTGCCCGAAGAGGGCGATCATCCTTTCTGAACTATGGGCAAGGAGAGCCGTTCGGCTCGATATCAGCCTCAAGTCGCTTAGCTGTAACCTTTCCTTTTTATTCCTTGTTTCAATTTCACCTTTTCTTGAATGTTGTTATTTCACCGCAGTTTGCGACCAGAAGGTCCCTATCTATGAAGCAGTGTGAAACAGAATTTTGTAACAAAACATTCTACCTTCTGCTAAGATCTGTATTCCAGGTTAACGCTTCGCTGTGTTTTCTGATAATGGAACAGTCATAATTCAGGACCGGTGTTGTTACTGAACTGGAAGCGGTCTATGCTCGACGAGTGGTGCCCTGCTTCGACGAACCAGATTTAAAAGCCGAATGGACAATTACTGTGATCCATCCAGAAGGAACTACAGCACTATCTAACGGAAAGGAAATTAGTATTGAGAAGTGAGCGAAGAGAATCGAGCCTTTATCTATATCCTATCATCCTTTCCTTACCATATATAAAGCGCTCGCGTCTGTCTGTTTGTTTGTCTGTTTGTTTGCACGGAAATTCGATATCACCTGATAAAGTACCTGCGCAAGTTTTAAGCCCACGGATGAGCGGTCGTGGACATGCAATGCATGATCCATCCTGCCGATTTACATAATTTGGTGGTCGGATCGGTTTTGCTGAAAGTGATATCTGAATCAGGAGAAAGCGCCATACCTTTAGTAGTCACAAACATGTGGCTTATATAGTCGGCCAAGTGTGTCCGTTGGTGTGTTTGTGTGTGTGTGTTTGTCTGACCTGAAATTCATAACTCCTATCTCACTGGGCCTAGGACATTCAAATTCCTAAGAGAGATAGGCATCAGGATGGGAACACTGATGGTAGGCGATAGGGAATAATATATAGAAACTGGTAAGGAGCCTTAAAATGCAAAATACACACGATCCGTAACCCCTTCATGTGAGCCGCGATGCCTTGGTACTTTGTAGGTGGTGTAGTATGTGAAGCGACAGCAAATGTCTGTGACAGGGATTGATAACAACTGATAGGGACTGATCGATAGCCATATAAGGCGAGAACATCTAGGTACGTAACGCCCTTCGTGTTACTGTGGAACCCGGATACTTTGACAGGAGACGTAGAATGTGGAAAGATTGATATTGTGAAAGATAGGTGGAGCTGACGGGAAGTGATAACAACTGATAACACTGATAAAGTGTCATGAAAGGTTAGAGACACACAATCTGTAACACCCTTCGTGTAGGCAGTGGAGCCTAGGAACTTTGGTAGGTGATGTGGGATGTGAAGGGGTTACGGATGATCAAAGATATAACTGACAGCAACTGATATGACAGCAACTGATTTAGACTGATTAGGGGACGTAGAAATAAAAAGGCTATGTTCTCGCGTTAACAATTGGACCCTGACATTTCGGAAGGATCGAAGGCAGTTAGTGTCAGGATCTGATGCAGATGATAAGGGCTCACAATGTATCCAAAATGCAAAGACACAAGAATGTAGAGAAATCCTACTTATAAAATGGGCTAAACGTGTCTGTTGGTGTGTTTGTGTATTGTTTGTCCGACCGGGAATTCATAACTCTTGTCCCACTAAACCTAGAACACTCAACATCGCAAGAAATACAGAAGACAGTATGGGAACACTGATCGCATGGCTTAGGAGGTGACAACAATCGAAAGAAACTGACACGGAGCTTCAAATGCAAATGTCACAGAATCCGTAGCTCCCATCGTTGGCGGTGAAGCCTTGGCACTTNNNGGCAGGTGGTGTAAGATGTGAAGGGACCGTTAGTGATTAGTGACAGGGAATGATGACAAGTGATAGGGACTGATAAGAGACCATAGAAGGCGAGGGCCACTGGGTCTATAACGCCCTTCATGTTAATAGTGAAGTTCTGGGCAATTTGATAGATGGTGTGGGATGGGAAGCGATTGTAGAAGAATGGAACTGATAACATGTAATAAGAGCTGATGAAATGCCATAGTTCAATGCTTCATTGCATTTTCTGTTAATAAAGGAGTCTTAAAATCTTAATAGGTGATGTAAATGTGACAGGATCGTAGGTACTCGGTGTCGGGAGCTGATAACTACTGATGCCGGCTGATGATGAGCTGTCTTAACTAAAACACTGCGTTTTCCGTGTTAATAACGGAACACTGGCGCTTCGGCGGTGGCGGGATCGAGAACGTTGGTGCAAGGCCAGGAACTGATAAAATTGATGAGGGCTATTGAGAATCCTCGAAAGGGTAGAGGTACTATAAAACTGACACTAATATGAAGCTTTGATAGTTTGACATGTGATGTGGATTATGGCGGGATCGTAGACGGCCTATGATAGGGATTGATAAGAGCTGATAGCGACTGATAAGGGCACTTACCAAACTGAATTTAACAATTTAACGCCTGTAGTATTCACGATGTATTTATGGTTACGAATATTTGANAAGTAATCGATCAGCACTTTTAATCGCAGGCGTGAGCATCGGCATACCCTTAATACCACTATCGGTGCCCTGCTTATGCCGGCTTCCCTGTTTTTGGATCCTGTGTCAAAGCTGTATATATCGGGACAAATTTCGTGTTCAGAAAAGCATCAATTATTCTCAAAATGGATGTCGGGTGCCGATCAATAGAACTTTGAGTAGGAGGAAAGCCAGGCGTTACCCGGGCGGTCCGATGATACGCTACGACGACATAATCTATTCGAGCTCAGCTTCAGTTTCATACTCCCACTCAGCTAAACAGCGGATGTAAACTTCGAAAAAGGGAAAAAAATTCCTCAATTCAACATTTCTCGGGATAGGATGTTGACACAAGAAGGAGGAGAGCCCGGCGTTAGCTGGTCGACCCGACTGGTAAAGCAGAAACTTGGTGTGTCGGTTTGTAAGTTTGTCAGTTTGTGAGTGTGTCGGTCTGTCCGTCCCAAAATTTAAGATTACGATAAGTAAGTGATATGAAAAACCTAGCTTTATTGTGCACTTCTTTCTTATATATAAGGCAGTGACTTGGTGGGTAGGTTGATGGAGTAGAGCGAGTACTGCGGACTGGAGTGGGTACTTCAAACTGTGATGTCGATCTGTACCGGCATCGAGCTACGTATGTCTTCACATAAATTGGAGTTGATAATGTAGTTGGGAGACCTTCTCTTTCTTCAAACATAATTTAAACATAAGGAGCTTAGCCCATAATTATGCTCATTAACACTTCCCCCTCCCCCCACTAATCACAGTTGATGACGACTTGGTAAAAGTAAGGAATGAGGCCCGGCGTAAGCCGGGCGAGCTGAGAGTAATAATATACACAAAGATGTCTGGGGACGTGACTCTCTTGTCTGTAATACTCTTGACTTTATACACTGCCTTATTTGACAAAAGCTAGCCGATGGTCACTAATGTAGAGTTCTCAGTTTGAGTAATGATAACACCGTGTCGTAGCAGATGTCTTTATCAGGAACTGATAAAGACATCTGCTACGACACGGTGTTATCATTACTCGAAACATTCGTAAGTTCGGCCCAAGGCTTTGGTTACCTATCAGATCAGTCTTTGATGTGTATTTACTCTGAAGGGCGAGAGCAATAAATTGAGACATCTAATTAAAGGCGTAAGCACACTACTGTGAATACCGTTTGCGCTGCCCTGTTTGTCTTGTGTCAAACTCCGTGAAAGGAGAATATTATTCGTTTCAAAGGAGTGGAGAATCAGCCGATTTCTACTTCTTCCCCCTAGCGTTAATCCCGCGCCGTCGCAGGGTCCGCTGTTCTTGTCAGCCGTCTCCATTTCATTCTATCTACGGCATCTTCTGCCGTCACCTTAGCTTCGGCGAGGTCCTTCTTGATCACGTCCCACCGTCTCTTCTTTGGGGCTCCTCGTGGTCGCTTGCCTTGAGCCTCGAATTCCACTGCTTCCCTTATCGGATGGCTCTGTGGTCTTCTTAGTACATGCTCGAACCATCGCAGGCGCTGCTCTCTCATCTTCATTTGAATTGGAGCTGTTTGCATAGCCGTCCTGACGTCCTCATTTCTGACCCGATCCAGCCGCGTCCAGCCGCAGGCCCTCTAAGCATTCTCATTTCAGCGGAGTGAAGCTGTCCTTCGTAGGATTTACTCACAGGCCAACACTCGCTGCCGTAGAGC